AATTTGTAGCATAATTATGAGAGAGATGAAGATCACAGGTTATATAATCGAGAGTCTTGACTTTATTTAAAGCTAGTGCATTTGAAAGATGTGGATCCTCGTTGCATTTCATAACATTAATAATGTGTATTATAATGGTGATTGTTGATAAACAATCTAAATGCATCGGTTACATCTAGATTTTCATTCCACCATTCTTCATTAACCTATGCCATTGGATTTTAAGACATTGAAAAATAACCATATCATCTACATATGATCCTAAATCATCAATACTTGGTACTTCATCCAGAGTAATTCTAATAAAGCAACAATTTGAATTTGTTAAATAATTTATATTTATTTATTTTAAAAGAATCAAAATAAAACATACCTGTTGTTATTAATATAATCTTCAGTATATGCTCTGGCTTCGGTATTTAATCGGGTATGATGATCCGCATAATACGCACATATTTTGATCTAAGAAAGGTGATTGTTTTACTAGCATCAGCAAATCTGGGAGCTACCTCTTTTGCTAATGTGATATATGTAGAAAACGGGGAGGATCACAGGCTCTTAAAAACATAATCTTTGTTTCGTCAACTAAAATCGCCAACATTTCCGAAGTTGCCTACAAAAAAAAAATTCTATTTGATAACGTAAATAAAAAAATTTATAAATAACAATATCAATATCATACTTGATTTGTTGAAATATTCAATTGGACATTGTTCATATTTTGCAAAGCTGGTGAAATAGGTGTTGAGAATTTTGATATCTTTTGTGTAGTATCATCGTCATCGTATCAGATTTCTTTGTGTTGCTTTGCTTGATTATTATATCGTAAAACATGTTTTACTATACTTGGATTAGGGTTTTTAAAAAGAAGATCATCTTTATCTAAAGCAAGTTGATCATCGTATTTTTCACCAAATACGAGTTTAGGTATATCATTATATTCCACTACATTAACGTTTTCTTCTATAAATAAAAAAATCGTAAATAAAAAGCCACAATATAATTTCTTCTAATTTTATTATACATATTACGCATTACAATAAAGATTAAAAAAGAATGAAGCTAACCCGTTAGCCCGTTGAATTAACATGAAATGTTATAGTTGTATTTCCTCTTTTATTATATTAAACATAAATAAATTTACCTAATTCATCGACATTCGATACTGATTCTTCAACATTTAATTCTTTGATTTTACGACGCTTAAGATTTGATTCTTGTAAAGTTTGAATATTTGAACTTTGACCTTTAAAATTTCGATTTAAAACAATATCATTGATTTTAGTTGAAGGTAGGGATGATAACGGTCGGTCATGATTGGTTCACGGTCGGTCAACGGTCGGTCAAAGGCCTTTGACCGACCGACCGGTTTTGCTGACCGGCCCATTTTAAAATAATATAATTTAAAGTTCTTGATTGATAATTTTAATTTATGCTTTAAATAATAGTAACATGGCATTTGCTAAAACTTACTATTTTACTTAATTTACTTATTTCTTAGTTTACTTTCATATTTTTAGTGATGCTGTTTATCGCGATCTTTTTTTTAAGAATAAATTAAAAATTTTTATTTATAAAAAATAAAATCACTAAAATTATTGTTAATTAAAGCATGGATTACTAATTAAAAAATGTTGGTCAATCGGTCGGTCAAAATCGGTCAAAATCGGTCGGTCAGAAACCTTTGACCGACCGATATCGGTCACGGTTATGACCGGTCATAACCGTAACCATTAGCATCCCTAGTTTAAGGCTTGATATTAGAATTTTTAGGCTTTGAACGGGTATTTCTCTTCATTATTATTAGATGCTTTAGAGAGAACAGAAATGGATTGAAAAGATAGATTATTAATCAATTTGAATTTTGTTTTATATTTATAGGATCGATTCATCACATAATATTTGTATGACATCATAAAATATAAATAAAAGTTCTTTCTGATTTATTGATCCTTTAGCCTTTAATCTTTTCATTTTTTTTAAAAAAAACTTAAAACAATATTTTCATGCCAAAACAAACTAATTTCAAAAATACACGTCCAACTCTTTGTAATCCACTTGGTTTACAACAAAAGTTGGAATCCCCTATAACATTATAAAAAAAAACTAATTTACTTAATTTACCAACTTCAAGTACAATACCTTCGAAACCCAATACGTTTTATAATGATGATCTTATGAATAATAAAAAATCTATTCTAAAATATATTTCTAATATTAGAAAGACATCGCTTAATATACATAAGAATCATGATAGTTATAATCATTCTAATAATCAAAAAAAACTTATATAATTATATATTAGAAGATATTAATAATAGTTCAATATTAGAAAAATCTTCCTCAGTTAATTTCGATTTGGCCAACGATTACTTGAGTAATGATGATGATTATCGACTTTTCAAATGATAATGATAACGATACAAACAATTCAGGTGATAATAAATATTATGATGATAATAACAATTTACCAGAATACACGGATGATGGCTAACCATACTTTCCAAGTCTTACTGCTATGTGGATATTTATATGGTTTACAAAAAATTGAATAGGTAATGTACTTGATATCCTAATCTACTACTCAAATGCTTATTTAATTATTATGGTTTATAATTGTATTATTACATGGTCCTGTGCATACCAAGAACTCGTTAAGATTATACGACATTCAGATTTTACGGCTAATCAAGTTCCTTATAGCGTTACAACTTTGAAAAAGATCTGTAGAGGATTACCTTTATTAATAATTACTAAAAAATCTGTTACAATTGATTTAAGGAACTCGCTGTCAAAAACATTACCACTTAAATAAGTATATACATTTTCAATTAAAGACCATATCCATCGTATAATCAACAACCCGATGTTAATGCCAAGAATGTATTTCGGACCTGGTGTTGAAAAAAAAAAACTGAAATATGGCATGGGGATTTATAGAAAGAATCTCCATTATTTGGTGAAATATCAATCATAATAAATAACGGTATGAATGAATTAATTTACTTAATTTATATATATATTTATAATCTTACATATTCCATATATAATCTTTTTTATAAGTTACATTTAATGCTGGTAATTGGATAGAATACAGAGAATTACGAAATCAACAAATAATTAATCATAGTAATGACAAACGAGTTTACTTCTAATCGATGGCTTTGTATACAGCTTACAAGAAAGTTTAATGGGCTGCCTGGTACTTTAAAAAGCAATAAAAGATATCAAAGATCATAAACAGATAATGAGCTATGGTTAGAAGATTTAAGAAATACAATTAATACTCAAGATATAATCATCCATACTCATGTATGGATCGCAGATAATAATAACCCAGTTCCATTAAGTTCTAAATTTACAATTCAAGAGATAGTGTATACTTTTAATAGTCATTACAAAATTCGACATGTTTCTTTACGATATAAATTACCTGTGGAATATATGATTATACATCAACCATCACCAAATCAGAATATAAAGCATTTAAATTTTTTATCAACTTGTATTATGATGATTTCGGTGCCTTTAATAAAGCATATCACAAATTAGGAGGCATTTATATACAAATTGGTAACATGAGCCACGATCTACGAAAAAAATTAAGGAATCATTTTCTTATTTCATTTGTACCGTTCGGAGGAGAGTTTAGTGATGTGTTACAAGAATTTATTGCAGATATGAAAGAGTTACAAAATGGAGTATTGATGAATATTAAAAATAATAACTGCAGGGTTTGGAATGGCAATGACAGATCTCTCACAAGGGAATGATCTTGCTGGTATTAAGAGAGACACAATGCTGAATATGAGTGTCGCGCTTGTAAAATTTCTCAAAATCAGCTGTCTGATGTGGATTTCGATATATTTCAAAATGGGAGATATCACCATAAGTTATTTGATACTATTCAAGTTGCTAGAAACAATACGGCAAAGAAAAGTATTGCATAACAACATGGGTTATGTCTGGTTCTGAATATATTGGATGATTTATTACGCAACTGACATTTTCAAACATCACATGACACATTTCATTGCTTAGCAGGATTGACTCGCAGGTTATTTGATCATTTATTAAACCGCGAATTAGAAAAATCAAGGCTTGATGCTTTACACTATACATGGAGAACTTTCGAAATGCCAAGAAATTGGAAACGCTTTCAAAGCCCGATCAATTATTTTGAATCGTATTGGATGAGTGATTCACTGAGACTGATAATGATAATGCCTTTTATATTATCACGATGCTTAAATGTTGTTTATTTAAAAAAAGCGTTTATCCAAACTATTAAAGATAATTATTCATTAACAAATGTAAGACAAGTAAAGAGCCGTAATAATTAAAACATGGAGTTTATTTGCTAGATTCTGTGTGATGATATTTGCTAACGAATTTTGTAAAGTATATTCAACTATCTTTAGAATTAATTAGAACCTACCTTAAATAAGATAATTAAACACATTTTTATTTGATTTTATATAATTTTAATTTTATATTTACTTATATTTAGGTGTAATAAAAAGATTACTGAACATTCATGTTTTACGACGTCTGCCATTAATTACATCAACTTTTGGAACATTACAAAATGTTTTCATATCACTTAAGGATGCATGGGATATACAAAAAAATGATCCCACATACTAACAAAAGGAATGTAGAATTTGATCTTGTTAAACATGTTGCAAGGACTTCATTATATAATAGATAATGGTTATGATCTCAGATTTCCCGAAGGTAATAACAACTGCATAAGATAGATGAAAGATAATCATTTAATGTATCTGTTAGAAGGATGGTACATATCTACTCTGACTCATCACAAAACAAGTTTAGAAAAATACAATACTGATGAGCAAGAATAAACAAATTGTTAATACTAAAGTAGTTCAATTCTTAATTTTTAGATATTAACATCAAATTTATATTTTTAGTAATTGAATCTCCTTAAGAATGTTTTTTTAATATTCATGTATATAGGAAATGGAATACAAGGAAAATCGAAAAAGATGGTTTTATAAAAAAAGGTCAGCAATGAAAATGAGATGCAGAGAAAACTTTACAAGGCTTACTGTGATTATTTTAATAACGAAACAGCAATCAGAACACAATTTCATATACGGTACTGCAAGAGGGTGATGTTAACATTGACATTAATGTTCATGTTGGTGAGATCATTGATGTAGAAATGATGAAATAGAAAATCGTGGAAATGCTCTTATAGTTACAACAGTAATGTTATAATGCATGCGTTGCGTTTAAACTTTCAAATTTTCATAGTTGCTTTTTTTAGGTAAGAATAAAATATTCAAATTGCAATAAAAATAAAATTCCTTCCTTATTTGGAAATTTATAAAATTATCAATTATCTAAAAAATTTATCATATTCTTCACATGCTAATGGAGCTTCTCTAATTTTTGAGGATTCTTTTTTATTAACTGGTACATTTAGAAGATCTTGTAAAAGATCGGGTTCGTAATAAATTTTTACGGTTAATTTCTGGGGGCGGCCGATAATTTTTCAGATCCAATTTTTTATATGATCATTGAAGATCGGTTGATTTTAAATCTATTACTTTTTATTTTATTTTTTTCATTTTGTCAAAGATTTTAATTAATTATAGTTAGATTTGTAAATAAGCCATATCGTACATTTAAAAAGAACGTTGATATCTCGCATTCCAAGAAGAATTGCTGGAAGAATTAAACGGTTATAGTTTCAATTAAATTCAGTTATCCCGAGGTCGCTAACTAAATGTAAATTGTTCCGATAGTTCCTTCTTTCTATTGCAAATATTTTTATAATAATATCAAACGTTGTCACTTATATCCTATCCTAGCTTTAAAAAACCCAAAAAAATTAAATGAATATAAATAAGGGTGTGGGTGCCACCCACAATACTCAAACGTTACAACAACAAACAAAAAATTACAATAAACAGCAATAAAAATGAACGGATCTATTCATCTTTTCATCTTTGGTCTTTTGTCATTCTTCGTCTTTAACGCCTCTGCTTGCGACCCTTCTCAATGCAAATGCCTCATAGGTAGGGTTCCTCAAAATCGAATCGAATCAAATATTTAAGCAATTTGAATTTGATTTGATTTTTTCAAATCGAATCG